TGACAAAATTAAATTGAATAAATAGTTTCTTTTGACCTGAAGATGAACTACTTTAAAATGTGAATTTAGCAAAGTTAACACATCAATAAAAACTGATACACTAAAAAAAATAGTAGTAGTATTTAGGGTAAACCAAAAAATTGTACTATACGAACTTTGATTTCAATGAGAGAAAAAAAAAATACAGACCAACTATTGCTTCATGTCAAATTGCACTGCCTATTTTTTTCTTATAAAATTCCTATTAAAATTGTATGTATGGCGAGTGAGAAGATCTACACCTTTATATATTGACAATAATAATCATAATAGTTCATGTCAACCTATATCTACGTTATTGATTTTTCATATTTTATCCGATTATTGAAATCAATGCTACCTCGTTTGTGAATAGTGAATATATTATTATTATTATTATTGTTAATATTAATATTAATAACATTTTTTGTAATTTATAACAGTAAGACGGGTGGTGTACAAGTTACTGTTTTCTGTCTTTTTTTGTGGAATATTAACACGTCTTTTTTTTTATCTACAAAGAGATTAATTACGTCAATTTTTATCGATATTGGTATCATTGATATTATGTATAATCCTAAAATTATCAGTGTTTTAATTAAACAACTTCAGAGATAATGACAAGCAATTTTTTTAACCATATGTTAAGGCTAATCAAATGAATGGTATCTAATCAAGCCTAGTTAACTCTATTAAGTTAATTTAACGCTTTTATTAACGACAATAACATGATTTTCATAAAATTACTATGTAAACTTAGATTTCAATAAACAATAATAAATCATTTTCTGTATTTAATAAAATGTTGTCTACTTGTCGAGCAGTGTGGGTTAGTTTGACTTTTCACTGGAACATTGTAAGTTTTATTCCCACATTAATTTTCGTCGGGCTATTTAAGTAGTATCATTTAGCTCTCACATAAATAGTTTGTTTCAAAGTTGAATAAATGAATGAGTACTTAGGAGTTGCATTATTTAATATGTAAACCAAATTATTAAGAAATTTAAAATTGATTCTGTGATTTTTTTCATCAACATTTTATCAAGGCATGATGTAGGCAGATCAGTCAGTCAGTTGCAACGTAGAGTTTCGTACGTAAGTACATCAGTTCAAGTTGCCATACCACATTAGCACAGAGAAATGATTGTCAGTTCAAATCCCATAGTAGTAGAGTTAGTAGAAGTATTAGAATTTATCGGAGAGATTAGGGTTTGAAGATTTTATTCAAGAAGTGTAATTCAGTGAGGTATATTTAGAAAGAGAATGACAGAGGTGATAAGGACTTCAGAAGGTTAGAATTTGAGAGAACACAAAGAGTGAATACACCTGCGCCATTGCAAACGGTTTTGAGCCATGTCTTTCAAGGTCTCCGATCATCAATTACTATCATCTCGCGGGCCCCAACCAAGTAGTCGACACCTACTGATATGACTCAGTCCACTTGTCAGTGACTTTATGAATTTCTGCCATGTTTTGGTTTGGCCGCCCCTAGCTTTCTTCTAAGCCATTTCTATATCGCAAAACATAGCTTGATAAGGCAGTCGGTGGTTAGGCATACGCAGATCAAGAAATTGGTTTCAAAAACACCTGTTTCTCAGAGTAATGACAAGTAATAAATACACATTTGAAATCATGAATCGATCAATGTTAGACCACCATTAGAAACCTGAAAGCACTGGACAGCCGTTTCATCCTGGTATGGGACTCATCAGCAAAGCATATCCACGACCATTGCACCTCGCAGGAATTTTCTCCGAGTTCTAGTGGGAAGTCGTGACCAGTGAAGTTCAACCTGTTCCGGTGTAGACAGTAGCTACCGAAGACAGTGTATGAGGTTGTGCAAGACCGTGAATTGATCGATGTCAGACATTACCACCGTTAGGTACCGGTTCAGTGGTCCAGAGGTTAGGTCTTTGCTCGCAAGTCTTGAGGTTCCTGGGTTCAAATCCTGCGAGGTGCAGGAGTCGTGGATGCGCGCTGCTGATGAGTCCCATACCAAGACAAAACGACCGTCCAGTGCTTTCAGGTTTCTGATGGTGGTCTAGCATTGATCGATTCATAATTTCAAATGTGTAACTTACCAATCTTCACAACTCTGTAAAGTAATAAATAGCTGGTATATTTGTCAGTTCAGTCGATTTAAATTGTTGTTGCCAAACAAAAGTTCAGCACTGTTCTTTTGAATGATAAACAGTATTAAGGTATACTAAATGGTTTTCTAGTTTTTCATGATTTATTCAATAAATTGTGAATATGTACAATCATCTAAACTGTTTGGTTTGATGTTAAATTTAATGGTTATTTCATAATGTTGATAAAGACCAATTTGTATAGAGCAAATACTTTTATAGGCCACCGCTCTTGTCTTATTTGTTTTCAGCTTGTTATGCTTTCATTCGTTTCAAGTACCATCATTTCATTTATCTAGTATATAATGTCCAGAGTAGTTGGTCACATGACATGTCATCTTCAAATAGTGATTTTAATAAAATTTGTCTTACCCTGTAACGACGCTTTCTGTACGCTTCATCGCAGTTAATTGTTAATGTCATTTTATGTTTTAATGGGATTATTCTTTTTTTATTTTAAAATCCATTCTTGCTTAGAATTATGTAGTAGTGTGTATTGGTAGAAGGGGGAATGAAATATTTCTATTGCAGATTGTTCTCAAGAATTTGTTGAAATCAAATCAAAGCTTATGGCGAACTGTCATCTGAATTCTCTACATCAAGTGGTGTCCGTCAGGGCTGTCCACTCTCTCCATTCTTGTTCAACTTTGTCGTATACATCCTCTTAGAGTTAACATTAAGCTCGTCAGATTTTTTCAGGGGTTGACCTTCTACCAGGAAAGTCGCTTACTGATCTAGAATATGCCGATGACATAGTTCTATTCGGTGAAGACGCTGAAAAAATGCAGGGTCTTCTGACTACCATAAGCAACAATGCGAGCATGTTCGGGATGCGGTTTTCCCCCTCGAAATGCAAAATGTTGCTTCAAGACTGGGTTGCTTCGGCACCTGAACTGGTGATAGGGAGTGAAGTAGTCGAGCGTGTAGATCACTTCACTTATCTGGGGAGTCTCATCAGTGCTGACGGTCTGGTGACTGACGAAATTTCAGCTCGGATACAAAAAGCTCGATTGGCTTTTGCCAACCTGCGTCACTTATGGCGTAGGCGTGATATCCGTTTGCTAACCAAAGGGCGGGTGTACTGCGCAGCAGTTCGTTCCGTTCTCTTATATGGCTGTGAAACATGGCCGTTAAGAGTAGAAGATGTTCGTAGGTTACTAGTATTCGATCATAGATGTTTAAGAAGCATTGCTCGTATATCGTGGGACAGCCGAGTAAGCAATGCTGTCGTTAGGAAACGAGTACTAGGTAAGGATGGCAGATCAATCGATGAAGTGGTGAAACTTTATCAGTTGTGTGTTACGTATGCCTAACCACCGACTGCCTCGACGAGCTATGTTTTGTGGTGTAGGCGTAGGTTGGAAGAAAGCTAGGGGCGGCCAGACCAAAACATGGCAGAAATCCATGAAGTCACTGACAAGTGGACTGAGTCATGTTGGTAGATGTAGACTACCTGGTTGGGGTCCGCGAGACGAAAGTCATCAATGGTTAGAGACCTTGAACGACATGGCTCAAAATCGTTTGCAGTGGCGCAGGTGCATCCACTCTTTGAGCTCTCTCAAATCCTAATCTTCTGGATTAGCCAGCACCCTACCTTTGTCTTTCTAACCTTATCTCACTGAATTATATTTTTTGAATAGTATCTTAAACCCTAGTCTTCTTTATTATAACATTAATACCTCTACTATCTTTATCACTATGGGATTTGATTTGACATTTGCGTCTCTATGCTAATAATGTGGTATGGCAACATGAACTTATGTACATACGTACGAAGTTCTACGTTGCAACTGACTGACTGAAATCAAATCATTATATTATCGTTGTTCTGATATTAGTACTGTTATTTTTAGAAACAAATATTAACTTAAGTCAGTAGTAAACTTAAGTTTTGACTTGGTTCAGACTTGTAGCCTTCTAAATAGGCTCATTAGATGTGCTACCAGCTTATATAGCTTCAACCTTCAACTATCTTGCTCGACAGGTAAATAAGCAGAAATCAGGTTATTAATTTGCTTTTCATTTCAGTTATCTGTCCTTGATTATGTTTAACTCGTTGAAGTAACAATAATCATTTTGAGAATAATACATATATTGAGTTCACCTGAAGCGTGATTTGATTTTTCAACTTGCCACAGTATCGAACGATCAAAGTTATACTAGGCATCTCAATAAATAATCACTCCCTTGATTCTAAACCAAAGAATTTTATTAGTTTACTTACTACTTTTGTTTTCCTTCAATGACCTGTTTTTATGGTGTAACAGTTTCTTGTTCTGTTGTCTTTAGAATTAGTCAACCTAGATTATGCAAACAAATTTTTTTTAAAACCAAAGCGTCATTTAAATGCAAAGTATTCGATAAACCTTAAACGAGAAAGTGTTCTTTGTACATTTTGAATAAGACATATTATAAAATAATCTTGCTTAAGTCATATCGCATATACACGGAGTCCCTAGTATTTTCGAACCTTTATTGTCTTTAATCTCACTAACATAGATTAGCATATATTTTTCAGAAACACTTATATGAAATTCAGGTAATTTGCAAATACACCCAGACTTCTAGTCCCAAATAAAATAAAACGCACATTTTAAATTCCACTGCTAATCATTACCAAAACTTTGTCTGAATATACTCATGACTTGATTGCGCTATCAAGTCGATCCGCTGAGTATGCATAGATATCAAAAGAGACCGATCAATAACAGTCCTGAACATCAAAAACAAACGGATCTAAACTATCACTAATGAAGTTTATACAAAATCTCAGTACTACGTATTGTTCTTTTTAAAATCTGTTTGTAAATGTTTGTCATGACTCTAAAACTTGTTTTATTTATATATATCTAGCTTACTATCTGATTGGTTTCATCTTTAATTAAATAAATGTCTCTTCTTGTTCAAAACAGCTACCTGAACATTCAATCAATGCAATGGATGGATTTGCATCATAACGTTTGATTTTTTCCAATCAAATCTAAACATGAATTCAGCATCAAGTAACTTTCAGGTATGTTCAGTCTTGATTGGGGTGTTTCCTTGAAAATAAAACTGTACCTTATTTCTATGTGTAGTTTTTAAGTTTTAAAATAATATTATGCTAAACTGGTAGCCGTTTAACTGTTTCTTAACTAGTTTTGACTTCTATGTAGAAACTCTACCATCTAATTTGAATTTAACAAGTTATCTCTGAGCACCATCCTATCGAATTGCAGAGTACAAATCAACCGGCTGTAAGTTTTGGGATGATTTTTATCTCTCATGACAGATTGTGTTGTAACGCTTGCTTGAATAACTCCCGGCTAATTCCTATTGCTTAGTATTCTCTGACCACAATACACTGGACAAGTTCCAAAGAATCAAAAACACGGTGGAACAGGAAAAGATTATATTCCAAATAGCAAGGTTAAATGGAAATACGAAGCCGAAGGCAAAATAGATACAACGTTAGATTCTTAATAGTATTTTCATGAGGAACTTCTGGATTGTAATTCACGTGATCGACTGGATTAGATTTTGCCAATCAGCATGCAGCTAGCAACACGAGAATTTTCTACCCTGTTCTCCAAAAATCTGTCAGGCGCTGATTGATTAGGAAATTAGCCAATCAGCGCGCAGCAACGTAGTCATGCTTTCATTCTATCTATGTCCCACTAACAACTCCCCTTTGAGAAGATTCGTAGGATTTGGTGCTAGAGTCCAACTGCTTCCTGGGTGCCTTGCCACCCGTACTCTTACGAGCCGCCTGCTTTGTAGGAGCCATATCTGTGAACAACCGTTGATTGTACTGCTTCCCCATCGATAAGTTTTGTTGAGGCTCATGAGCAGCATATGGTATAGGGCATCTCGGACGTGAAATAGGTTTGGCATCTGCTTTCACTGGTAGGTGAGCTTTCATATTCGTACAGCCGATTTGAAAACGAGCTGATGCACCGTTCATCTGGATAGTAACGTAGCAACGTAATCATGCTTTAATTCCATCTATGTCCCACTAACAGATTGTTTTCAAGCATAATATTCTGTTTGACCTTAATTCAAATCTACGAAATCCAGATACTATAATGTTTAGAAAGCTAAATAATATTGTTTACTGTCTAATAGGAGATATGATTCATCGTCCTGTTTGTTTTTCGTCATGATTCCAAGGCTTCCTGTTTCAATCTAGACTGTATCCTATTCAGCGAAAACTAACTATTATACTATTTTTAGGCGAGACTATTATTCATTTATTTTAATTTCCAATTTTTGGTATTTACCATAAAAGTGTCTGTGTAAAAGCAAATATTCCAAATGACTCTATTTAAGTCAGGATTATTAGTCTATGGTAGGTTTGAAGACTAATAAATTACAAAGTCCTTTGAATACTTTGTATAACGATGGAATAATATTCAGGATAGCTTTGATGGAATTATCAGTCTATATCAACAACTAAAGTCTGTCGGAACATGTGTTCAATTCTATTCCATTTTCTGAAGTCGGTTTTCTTGTTAAATTAAAAATCAAAACAGTCGATTGTATAGTTGCATGCAACCTAAGAGTTTTGTAGGATTTCAATATTTCCCAGTATTTAGTAATAATTAAAGTGTTCATTGAATCACACTGACAAACAGCATAGATCAATCAAGTTATTGAATTTTCCAGAGGTATTTTTTCTGTCCACATATTACCGTATAGGCATTCTTCATTTGCATTTTAGAAATAATGACTATTGTTAATTTAACTTTTTTACAATCTACTTGATTTTTTTTATTATGTAACTAACCGATCATTTGTGTTAAGCTTTTTTTTTCCATATAATCCACCACATTTACAACTAGTAGGTTGTTTGATATTTTCTCTCTCTCTCTCTCTCTCTCTTTGTAATAAACATGTACAATTGAAATTTGAAATTTGAGATTATAATCATATAGTGTAAATGTAAATCATTGTTATCATTGTTCGTTGAATAAACTACAACTTCGCAACTCGGCAAACAATATATAATAATCTAGCTTTTGTTGAATAATATAAAACCTTTTGATATAGTATATATATATATATATTTTTTTTCCCTTAACAAAATAAATCTAGGCATATTGTTTTGATAATAAATTGACCAAAAAAAAAACAACCTCATTACATACATAGTATGATTATCTAATCTAGTATTGTTTACAAACTAAATTCATCTATCAAATATTAAGTTTCAAATGGTTTTATTCACTCTTATTAGTTTATATATATATATTTTTTATTATAATCGTCTAGGGTTTAGGATATTTCAATTTTGAAATTTCATTTGAGTCGAGATTAATTCAATCAATAGATTAAATGAAATGAAATCTCATATAAAAGTCTATTGGTTTTGATATTTTTTGAGTAACAAAACATATTATAAACAATAGCAATAAAATTAGAATGTTCTTGGGAATATTTTCGCCTTAATTGAAGCTCCTCATAGAAGTTTCGATCCTTTTAACTACTTCATTCATTTATTTTAGCTCTGTTGTCTAACGATAGTCTATGTTAAGCATAATCTATCGGGTATTGCTTCGCATAAACATCTTTATGGATCTCGTATAGACAGTCCGTGTTCGATTGCTAATCTTTTTCTTATGAATCTTTCCAATTTTTCATGAATTACGTTTCAATGTTATGTGGTTAAGGATAGTCAGTCAGCTACAAAGTAGAACTTCGTACGTACGTGCATCAGTCCAGGTTACCATGCAATATTAGCACTGAGATGCAATTGTCAATTCAAATCCCATAGTAGTAGAGTTAGTAGAAGTATTAACGGTAATGGAGAAGATTAGAGTTTGAAAATATTATTCAAAAAGTATAATTCAGTAAAATAAATTTAAAAAGAGAAAGATAAAGGTGGTGAGGAATTTAGAAGACTAGAATTTCGGAGAAGACAAAGAATGGATGCACCTGCGCAATTGCAAATGGTTGGAGACAGTCAGTAGATAAACATAAAATTAGGCGCCAACAAGCACAAGAGCTACGTCCACAGTTCCATGCCAATCGCTTCAAATTGCCTAATATTAATTGTTAGGCTTCAATGTTCATTGTAGTTACAAATCATATTTATGAATATCTATCTAATTAGTATGGTTTTATGCATAACTTCCTTTTGCTTTATAAATTTTCATCATCTATGTTGAAGCAAAAGGTCAGCATCCATTTTATTGAGTTTTGTTTTATATTCTGTGTTTTATTTTTGTAAAAAAATTATTTTTGTATCCAATGATCAATACAATTCATAAATAAAGTACACCACTCTACTACCGGATTGTCTAAATTCCAATACTTTACAAACATCATCATTATATATGAGACGATGGAGAAGGCGTCAATTCAAAAGGTCAGAGGCAGATCGTCTTGAAGGTCAACAGTGTCAACAACGACAAAATCCACTGTGTAAGTGTAAATATTGACTGAATTAGATTAATATATTATGCAACATAAAAAAATTACTATTATTTTTTTATTGTTCGGTCATTTTATTTGCATACACTATTCTAATAGGAATTCTTATAATAGTATTCAGCATAGTTTTTTGTTGTATATGTCATAATGAGCTTTCCGTTAATTGTAGATATATGTGTTCAGATTCTGTTACATAGAAAGTGAAAGATAAGTGAAAGTGTAGACCATTGTAGTTTATTGAATAATGCACCTAATCATTGTCAGTGCCCATGTACCCTGTACACAATTACAACGGATGTACACACGTATAAGTTGTAAGCATTACCTTAGTCATAAAGCTTTGTACTGTGTCTATCTTCCCCGTCTGCATAGTGGTTTGGAAGCATGACTAAATTCAAATATATATGTAGAAAGGATTTAATTCCGGCCGATTTGGTCTCGTGTGCTTTTTTATGGGTAAGTGAGTGAATGTTTCTTCCCGGCTGCCCATATCGTGGAAGGGCTTTGGTTGTCAGAAGGGGCATTGGCCTCGTGACTTCCGAAGCAACTCGGCTTTCATCATGAGATATCATAACTGGTCTAAATGAAGACCTAACTCTCAGATCAGCGTTTAAATGGTTTGAATTATTTCTTGTTGGTGTTTTTGAGCGAGTTAGTTTTTTACGGGATGGGGTAGCCAACCCTAATTCCAACCCTCCTTCATTATCCGTGTTTTGGACCAGCAGTAGCCATGGAGAGTTTACAGGCGGAGTTTAGAAAAACGTAGTGTCCGGATTTTTTTAATGATTAATATAAAAGGATATTTCGATTTAAATCAGTTAATTACCATGTTTCTTCGTAATTTCATCTGTCTATATTTTTGTTTTGTAGATGATTTATTTTCCAACACAAATCATCACCAAAATGCAGCTGTTGATTTGAACCATATTGTAGTTGGCAGTCCTAAAACAAATTACAGTACTAACACTTTAATTACGCCTACTCCTACTCCTACTATTAACATTAATCATATTAATGGTGATAATATTAGCAATCGAAGCTATCAGTCACTGACTACAAAAACTTCAATTGCAGGACAATCGAATACAGATGCTGATCTTGTTATGGTATCTCATTCGACGACCTTGACACAGCATAGTAATGTAACATCTCCTGGAAATTATAAGAAAATACTAATTGATCGATACTTGTTGAGTCAACCAATATCACATGATGGTACGGTCTATGATTCAACTAGTTCATTCTCTAACATGGTAAATACTCCCTATTGTTAATCTCTTTTCTCTATAAAATAATTTTTGATAAATCAATTCGCTCCTTTAGCTGAACGTGCATCGTTTAGAATTTTAGTTAGTGATGTTTCAGGTTAGCCTGGAGCTATCACATATTGTGGCAAAAACACTTGGTAAGTGAGAAATTTAATAATGAGCGAGATCACTATTGAGTAGATTGTTGTCCCAGACAAGGTTACCACCCATATATTCTTGTCTAGACCGGTTTCATATTTTATATATGTGTATATATACGTGTAACTTATACACATATTGAATTAATTAGGTCGAAATTTGTATCTACAATATCTTTAAACTCTCATTGTTTGTTTCGTCTATTTTTCGTTTCCCAAAGTTTAGTAGAGAAACGTCTGACTATTAGAGTAGAACAGTTATTCACTACTCCCTACTTTTCAGTGTTTATCTTGCTAGTGAGTTTGGGAAAGATTCTCATTATTTTATTAAGTTATTTTTGAATGTTTGTTCAACTGAACCAGCATTTGCACTAAATACTCATGTCATTTGAATAGAACCTTTGAAAATTCTTAGGATTGCACGTCCTCCTTAGCTAAACAATTGAGATTAAACCTTCTGGGCATATATATCAAAAGCAGGGTATGCCTAAATTTTAGTCAACTTTAGTAGTTTGCAAAGTTTATATATTTTTAATTAGAGTTATGAAAATTGGTGTTTTTACACATTTGAAATCATCACTCAATCATTGTTAGATAGACCATCATTAGAAACCTGCAAGCACTAGACGGCCGTTTCGTCCTGGTATGGAATTGATGAGATTCCTAAGATAAGTGAACTTGACGACATGTTCAACTACTTCAGACAGACAGACAGATACGACCCAGAACTTCGTACGTAAGTACATCAGTTCAGGTTGCCATGCCCCATCAGCACAGAGACGCAACTGTCAGTTCAAATCCAAGAGTGATAGCGATGTTAAAAGTATTAGCAGCAATGGAGAAGATTAGGGAGCGAAGATATGATTCTAGAAGTATAATTCAGTAAGATAAATTTCGAAGGAGAAAGGCAGAGATTATGAGGGATGCAGAAGCTTAGAATTTCATAGAACACAAAGAGTGGATGCACCTGCGCCATTGCAAACGATTCTGAGCCATGTCGTTCAAGGTCTCTAACCATCGGTGACTATCGTCTCGCGGACCCCAACCAGGTAGTCTACATCTACCAACATGACTCAGTCCACTTGTCAGTGACTTCGTGGATTTGTGCCATGTTTTGGTTTGGCCGCTCCCAGCTTTCTTCCAATCTACTCCTACACTGCAAAACATAGCTCATCGCGGCAGTCGGTGGTTAGCCATACGTAACACATGTCCCAGTTAAACTACTTCTCTCCCTATCACTAGTTCCGGTGCCGATGCAAACCAATGCTGAAGCAACATTTTGCGCTTCCAAGCGAGTTCGTCTTAGTCCTTTTATCAATCAGTAATTGGATCGCATGAGAAGTTACTCATCTGTTGATCATTATTCTATTTATTTTCGTTTTCTATAATCCAAAACTTAACGCTCATTAATCATCATATCTTGTAAAACAAATATCTTCATTATACTATGTTCACTATATGAATATATAGCTCATTATGAATATATAGAATCATTTTCAAAAAAGCCTATAATGTGAATAAACTTATTTATTATCTAAACAGTTTGATTTAATATCATCAATAAATTGATGCTACCATTATGATACAATGTAACTAAATAATAATAATAATAATAATCATCAACTACTATTCAAAAGATTAAAATTTAACACTTATTGTAGACTACTATATATAACGAACGATTGAACAATAATAATGATACATATACCCTACTTGATTTTGTATGCATTCTGTCGATTTGACACATTTAGAGCCATTGGTTTTTATTTTTAACACTGAATACGAATTGTATTTCAAATGTACTTATAATATTATTGTACAGCAGACAAGCAACAAACGCTGCAACGATTACACCAATAATAATACATCAATTCACAAAGTAATCATACAACTCAATTTCTTAAACTAGTCATGTAAGAAATGAATATCGGGGTGCATACGTCTGATCATCTACACATATTATATAAAACATCTTCAAACCTCTCTCTCTCTCTCTATATATATATATATATATATATATATTTGGATTATTTTTTCTGGTTAGCGTTTTTTTGGCAAGTTAGATTTCGACGGGATGGGGTCGCCAACCCCATGTCCAACCCTCCTCCTTTATCCGGGCTTGGGACCAGCAGTAGCCCCTGAGGTTCTACTGGTGGAGTTATATATATATATATATATATATATATAGAGAGAGATAAATGGTTGACAGAATAAACAAAATGATTCAGTTCATTCATCTTTTCACGTAGGGGTTAGAATAAACCAATATAAACTTGTAACAATGACAAATTGCTGCTAATTCTAAATTAAACAATAATACGAAACCATAAGAAAGTTTTCACATTTCATTCGATGAAATTTATTGTATTTTTTTTTATATACACAAAAAAAATATAAAGTATAAAATGACAAATTAACATATTTGATTCATTGACATGTAACAATATTTAATGGGCATTTCAATATCGTAATATAGAAAATGTAAGATTATTAGATATTTGTCTTTTAAATAATCACATTTTACGGGGTTGTGAAAATTGTTAAGCTACTCATTGAAATCATGAATTGATCAGTGTTAGACCACCACCATTCGAAACATGGTCAGAAATCGTGACCAGTGAAATTCAACCTGTTTGTTTGTAGACCATAGCTATCGAAGATAGTATATAAGGTTGCGCTAGACCGTGAATTAATCAAAGTTAGACATTAACATTGTTAGATACTGGCTCAGTGGTCCAGAGGTTAGGTGTTCGCGCACAAGACCAAAGATCCCGGGTTTCGAATCCTGCAAGCGGCAGGAGTTGTGGATACGCACTTTTAAACAGTGGTAAATAGTGTTAGAATTGATTTTTCGATTAACAAATAAAGGGAAACATTTTTTTCTAAAATCCATTAAAAGAAATTCAATAAACATATTTGTAAACATTCTTTTCACCATAAACATAAGATTGTAATTGTTAATTTAGTATTTATTATCATTATTATTATGATTATTATTATTAAAACTGTGAAACGAGGTGTAAATAGAAATAATTTGATAAATATGGTAATTAATCTACACACCGGTTTATACAGAGCTTCAAATTGATCACATGATCTTCCTAAACGATTTTAAAACTATGCGCTATTTGAAAATGATAAAAAATTGAAATTCTGTGAATGTTTTTTTCTCCATCAATTCAGATATTCATTCGTTTTAACTTTCTAGTCAGTTAGTTATAAGCAATGTAAGACTTGGCTCAATAAAAAATTGAATAATTGTACTACGTCGTTGTGATTGGGTTTTATTTTTTCTACCCTATTGTCAACATCTTCATCAACCGATCCTCCTACCTTGGAGCAGTTCTCAATTAATGATATAAATTAGTTTAATCCTAGTACATTTTTGAGTCGTAATCGGATAACAAGATCTCTGAGAATAATGAATGTATTGTTTTTTTACTCAAATAAAACTATCACATTCAAAACTGGAGATATAAAGAAAAGGATATGTGTATGAATGATTAAAACAATGGAAAAAAGTGCTTTTACGAAGTGAACTGTTTTTGGCAGATTTCATTTTCAGTGTTGTATAGAAGGAAGGGATTTGACTGTAAGTTAGATGATCTCGGTTGCTTGTAGAGGTATGAAGATAGTAGTTGTCACTTCACAGCTGCCCAGGTAAGGGTGGCAGATCAATAGATGAAGTATTGAAACTTTATCAGTTGAGGTGGTTGGAACATGTGCTGCGTATGCCTAACCACCGGCTGTCTCGTCGAGCTATGTTTTGAGATGTAGGAATAGGTTGGAAGAAAGCTAGGGGCGGCCAAACCAAAACATCCATGAAGTCATTGATAAGTCGACTGAGCCATGTTGGTAGGTGTCAACTACCTGTTTGGGGCCTGCGAGATGATAGTAATCGATGGTTAGAGACCCTGAATGACATGGCTCAGAATCTTTCAGTCATACAGTTCTCTAACCTACCTTCTTGGTATCGTAAGACTTAAAGCAACACGTGTTTCAGCCAATATAGCTTGTTTGAGTCATCACAATAGGCAAGCACAATTGCCACGTCAAGATAATAACTACGGTAGGGTTTAATGTTGTATGTAATTGTTTTTACTTTGTACATTCTAGAATCCTTATCTTTATTTATTTAAAGAAAACTTATTCAGTCTCTTTTTATTACCGTAGTTGAAATATCTAGCTTTATCCTTTCCCCCTCAATCTGTTATATTATTGCCTTTAAATAGTTATTGTTTTATGCTTTTGCTGATTAGATTCAACTTGAAAACTAATTTTATCACCATCAATGCAACTCATTTTTCATAGTTAATAATCCTTGTTTGATTTCTATGAAATCTTTAATTAATTTCCTTTTCAGGTTATACAACTCTTCATTTTCGCCAGTTATTCGTAAAGATAGTACATTTAACATACACTTACTATCTTTATATTTTCAATCCTAATTGTTTTATCAAGTTTTATTTCACAGTGTCCAGCGGATTTCATGCCGTTGGTTACTCTTTAAAACTGTACCTTTATACTAATTGGCTATTCATAGATTCTGAATCACAAATTGCTCCTAACTAGACCACTGTTTCGTTGTAGTATAGGTCCTTAGCAGTGCGTATCCACAACTTTACTTCTGAAAGTCGGTTTCACTCCCGAATCCTTAAACGCTAGACCACTGAGTCTTACTAATGGGTTTTTTTTTAGTCTAACTTCAAACATTTTCATAATATTACGACGTGACTATCTTCCACTACTTACCTCAAATAAATGTATCACACACTCTGACATGTTTTGTACTTCATTGATCACTACTTATCATCATCACTAAAACCCTAGGAATAATAATATCTAAAAGTTAATCAGTAGTAAATAACTACGTGTTTACTATTCCTTGTAAAGTTTCGTAAAGATCATAGAATTTTTAATATGGATTTTTAAATCACAAACTGATCTAAATTTTCGTTTTTTTTCTTTCTTAACCGATTTAAAATAGATCACGAAATTTTGTATAATCAGTAGTGTAATGATAGATTACAATTACTGTTTTTTTTTACTTAATCTCATCATTATTATATGTGTGTTATAAAATAATGAGTCGTTTTATTTTTATTTTTTTCTATAGTTATTGAAAGTTTGCTGTTCATTCATTTTACTCGTGATATTTTATAATTGTTCTGTTTTAAACAAACTACAACAACAACAACAACAACAACTTATAAACGTGTATATTTCTCTTTTTTTTAAGATCTATCAAATTCGAGTGTATATTTCATGTTCAATGTTTCAATAGTATTCGATTATTTTATTGAAATAGTTTTTTTTCATTGTTTCTATTTGTTAATTTGAATGAATTATTCAATCTCGTTGAATAAATAGATTGAATTATTTATCAGATTGTTTCACTGTTTTTTTTTATTTTCTATGTAGCCATTTTTCCGTTTTTTTTCCTCCTACTATTTTAGGTTCATGTTCCATTGATGAAAGAAACACAAACAGATTTTCACAATGAAAACTCTATGAAAGTAACGTTAAACTCGGATACAAAGTGCCATTTGAAAACTACAACAAGTACACTGTCAGAAGAGTTGATCAATAGAAAAGGATCGAATTCATGTATGATTATTGTTGTTGTGTTTTTTGTATATGTCGTTTCAATATGTCCAGTGTGAATGCAGGATGTGATTTTATATTTTCTAGATCTGTTTAGAACTGAACAATACATTTTGTTGTATATTGGTCTTTTATTTCAACTTGACACTTTTAAACAAAATTGAAATTATTAGAGTCATTAATGAACTGTGGAAAACAAGTATATTCTTTCACAACAAGTCAAAAAATGTTATACAGGTAGTTTTTTTTTGTGATTTGATCATTAGACAAAGTATTTGATTGTTAAAATCAATGAAGAGAATACTAATCGATGGATCAGCGCAGTGATGTACAGTAGTCGAATGTTAGCTATTCACGAGATCTTTTTAGTGATGTAGTCCGGCGTATGATTAGAAATCAAAGTTGTAAGATTACTAGTCAGATTTAGTGGTTTTCCATGTAGGAGAATTACTCATTTATCTACACAATATGAATGCAAAATAAACATAGTAAAATGTTGTAGTCAGTTGAAGGAAATTAGCTTGTACGTCAATTATTCTCTAATCAGTTAAAACTTTATTGTTAAGCATAATCTTTAGGGATTGTATCATGATGATCGTACTTCCAGATACTCATTTTCACTATCTATAGATTATCTTCTAAGTTATAAGGTTATCTTGTCAGTTGTAATTTCAAAGACATAATGATTCAATGGTCTTATAACTCATCGTTTCACAAAAGATCTGTAATTCACATTCCAATGTTTATGTTTCTATATAGTTGCTGAATTGTATCGGTATATTTGAATTCGACTCTGAAAGCTGTTGTATTTTTTTTTACGTAGAATGTTTTTTTCTGAAATAACAAGAACTACTCATACAGGACAATGGGTTAGTGGTTAAAAGTCAGCTTTTGACCGATGCTAACCCATAGTCCTGAAATCGAATATGTAAATATATATATTTGGTGAATGAATTTTTAGACAAATTAATTTCTCTATTTTTTAAAGTAGTTTTTTTTTGTAAATTCCATGCACTTTGTTCAGTTTATGAATTTAAATCAAACCAAACCAACAACTTAGGTAGAATTATATGAATTCATTGTATTTTGTGGTCTCTCATCAGCTGCTAACAACTATATTTATATGTAATAAATTGTAACAATGATTTATGATAGAATGCGAAGTAATTGACATTAATAATAGGAGATATTAAATTAGTAAAAACTAACTAAATATATCTGTGCATAAACAGGATTGAGGTCAATTTCAATTAAAAAAACACAAGGCGTGATACTGTAATTAAATCAAGTGTGAGTGGGTCGTACCATAATTATAGTAATTATGAGAAGTTGAAACAAGTTTTAGATCAATTGTCTAAAGTTGCGTAACACGTAAGCAAGATTTGAATGGGTTTACATAAATTGCGAGAAACATATAAATGAAAAGATGATCTTGGAGTAAATAAACTAAGATTTGTTTAATAATATTTACTGATGCTTTGCTCAGCTCATTTTACTACTTAACTCAACTGTTTTTTCTTTATAGTGGACAATGAAATCAAAAATTTCCAATCTCTTTTAAGGACACTGTTTTGTGATATTTTAACACGAGAATTATTGGATAATAGAAATAAAGATAAACCGAACACTATTCAGTCAACCGCCTCTTCCAATCACAACAGACATAGTAATACATGGAGTCCAAATTTTAATCTACAGAGCTTTTTCAGCATTATCAGTGACAAAATTTGCAGTACTGATTCTTCAAATTCAGAAAGGAGACTATCCTTCAATGATGAAAAATTTGAACAAGCTATTTCAACTCTACTATCTTTTCATCCTAATTTGAGACATGCGGTACTTTTTTGTATTCTTTTTGCTTCTTTTTTATTATTGACTACTTAATTTATAGTTAGTAGTACATACACAAAGGACAAATATTAAATCAAATGTTGGTCTAGTTGGACACACATTCAGTTATTAGTTTTGACAATTGTTCAATAATTTTTTCCCCACCTTTTTGACCAAAGCAAGAACAAAAAAACACCCACCAGAATAATATGAGTTCGTTTGTTTGATGGTTATTGTTCAACTGTTTGTATTCAAAAAACAGTAATATCGATTATCTTTATAGTCAATGTACATAATTTTTATCAGCCTAATGAAAGTTAGCAGAATAACTACAATGACATAACATATTTGTAAAATGAACAAATACTCATATGTTACTAGGTTTTAAAGTTCTAGTATAAAAAGTATAGAGACATGTTCTGAAAAATAAAAACTACTATTGAATTTACGTAGTAACAATCATAGAATTGGATAGATTAACCCGAGTGAAATGAATAAATTTCAAAAATGACGTAAGATTAAAACAATGAAAACAACAATGAAGAGTGTGAAATCAAATATTACTTAGCCGAACAATGAAAATATAAGTTACCATGGTCGTGGGAGATTCGACAACTGTATATTTGTAAATGTAATTTTTTGGTTTCTACCTTCAAGTAGCGATGGTCTTGGTGAAATGTAGTAAATTCTAAGTTCTTGGTTATTGTACATGATTTAAAATTATCAGTATTATTTCTACCATAAGTTAGATGATAAGAATTGCTGTTGTTAAAAACACATTGTGGAGAATGTACTCCAAGGAAGGGAACAAAAACCCTCTTTCTTTCTCTAAGGCTGTAAGCAATTAAATGCGAACCAAGGATTGGAGGAACAAATGTTTGTGATAAAATGTATTTCAAAAAGTATTTGGTTATTCATGGTTTCTGTTAGCAGTCTAAAATATTTTTGCATGTTGATGAAATATAGCGATTAAAGATATCGGTTATCTTCATTGTGGTGGTGTTTCGTTCCTTGAGCTGGGTGTTTTGGTTGTGGAGCTTTCATTGCTCTTCGGAACAACATCTTTGGCACAAACTTCAGATCAAAGTGAAGTATTCGAATTTCTCCACGTTTGACCTGTAGCTTGTTCTGGTAACCTCGATCTTGATTGGTTGCTGTTGACCTTAAACCCGTCGTTGTTCCAAAAAGTTTCAAAAATTGCTTTGGTTGAGTTCTTGTTGAATTAAACCATAAAGTTTATCCTATAGAAAATATACCTGTTAAATAAATTGTTAACATCAAGTTAACACATTTTCTCCCCTTTTAATTAATTAGATTTTTGCCAGAGTTTACAGCATTTTATCTTTTTCAACTAAGTATAAAAATATCATATTGTTAATTAATTTTTTGTTTTTACAGTTCTTAAATGAATTGCAATCACTATTGCGTAATACATATTATTCAAATGGTATGAAGATAAGTGATGATCAATCAACTGTTATGGAAATTGTAACTGGTAAGAATGATCGTTTTGTTTTATACACCGTTGGACAATTCATCATCATCATCATTGAAAGTTAATTTAAACAATTGACTGACAACTTCTTTACGTGAGCATTCCATAAATCATATCGGTACTACGAATAACAACACTAAAACTACTGTATTTTCTCTAAATTCTGTACATTCAATTCATAGCTCAGTAGAAAATTATAGTTTATTTTATATGTATAGTATATATTTTAGTGTCGTAGAGCATGGATGACTTAGGTTACTGACTGAGAGTGAGTAGAGTCCACTCTCTCTCTCTCAAAAGACTCTCATCTCGTCACTGTCAGGGAAGTCCTACTCACCACCTTCTCATGAAATTGATAGAATGGAAAGTAAATGTCAAGCCCTTTAACCTAGCTGATGAAAACATAGGATCGACCTCCAATCCAATAGTGCACATAGGCTCCAGTGTCCTAATTGGAGGAATAGCTTCTAAAACAGTTGTCGTTCACTGGCTACCATGAGACTGCATTTCTTAACGTTCCTCTGTTACCTTGTGCATTAGACTTTTGGATCAATGATTATAGGAGAATGGCTCTTAAGCAAACCACTTGTTTCTGCCTGGGCACCTGGATAGTGTCCCATACTCCATGCAAATCCAATGATTTGTGTGTTGCATAAATATTTATTTGCTCTTATGGACCGATAATTATGTGTTTTGATGAAATACATTATCCCATTGGGAAATTAAAATACACAACAAAGCTAATATATTAGTCATATCAACTGCATAGCATATGATCTATCCATCCTTATCAGGATTAAGTAATGACTCCTATCTAGACTATGCAGAAATGTTATCTTGACTTCTTACCAATAAACTTTGAAAGCTATTTAGGGATACAACCATTTTATTTCACATAGGATTACAGCGTTTGTTACATCTACTTATTAAATTAAAGTGACATCAATGTTCATCTTAATTTCTGTAAAACATTTTTTGTAAAACCTTTAAATTTCATGATGATTTCATATTTTTTTTAAAAGTAAGATTTCGACTAATTACTAACTCAACATTATGATTTGTAAATAAGTTTTTATTGAAATGACCTATAATGATAATGTTTATCGTTTCGTATTTTAACATGAATAATATGGCTCAAAACCGTTTGCAATGGCGCATGTGCATTCTCTCTCTGTGTTCTCACATATCCTAACCTTCAGATTTTCTCATCATCTTTAACTTTCTCTTTTAAGTTTATTTCATTAGGTTCTACTCCTTGAGTAATATCATGGAACCGTAAAATTTTCGATGACTGCTAACAATTCTGCTACCTCTACAATTATGGGATTTGAAGTGACAATTGCATCTCTGTATTAATGTGGTATGGCAACTTGAACTAATCTACGTACGAAGTTCTATGTTGTTGTTGACTTAACTTGAACCCGGTATTTGAAATACTTCAATGACAACAATGTTAATTGGTCTTTCGGTATACTCTCCCTTTTCATAGTATACATGGTTTATATCAAGTCTGGGGAGTTCAATGTAGAAAAAATGATTAGATCAATCATATCTACTCGCAATACTTCAATTTACATTGATTTTTTTTATTTTAGACTTTTCCCATCTAAAAAAAATTGCCAAATATCTTACAGGCGTTTTATTTTTCAATAGATATTCTGTAAAGTAACCAGTTTATAAGCATCTCTGTCCAAGATCCCGACCGTAGCTGCTACCTTGACGTGGTGGTCGGGCTTGCCTATCGTGATGACCCAACCGAGCTATGCTGACTGGGACATATGTTCCTGAAGATTCTACTATGCCAGGCAGGTCGATTGGAGAACGATGAGACTAAAAGCAGCTACCCAAGGTCTGAGGGCGAAGTCGTACTGCTGACTACTGCAGAGGGGTGTGACAGCAGTAAGGTGTTTCCCTCGGACAACCAGCATCTGCAGCGATGCTGCCTTCTCACAAAGAAGGAAGGGGTTAGTAAAGGTCGACCCTAAAAATGTCACACCTCACCCTACCTCACGGATTTCCGTCTCCTTGGGTAAGGGTGCCCACTAAGAGCTTTCAAAAGCGGAGCTAATACTCAAAAAACCTTTGATCAAAAGGCCGTGCGTGACCGGCCTCAAGCAGTTGTCCCTTGGGCTCTGCGGTCATGCACCCAGGTCTCTAAGACCAACACTAATCTATCTTCCTTTTCAGGTTCCTCAAGAAACAACCTTCCGCGATGTGTGAAGTCGGGAAGTGACAACCGCCCTCATACCCATAACAGCACGAAAGACCAAATTGGTCAAAATCAAATCCTGTCTGCCCAAGATACCAAGAACTAATGAGAATTTGTTTAAAATGTAATTTTTTTTTGAAAAAAAACTAGCTAACAATGTTCAGTTTATTCATTGATTATTGTGTTTATTTTGTGATTATATTCTTTATTTTAGATAATCACAAATGTTTAACTACATCTCCTCATTCATCATTAATTCATAATAGTACACCAGGAATAAATTTCCCTACTAGTACTAATACTACTATACATACTCCTACTACTACTACTACTACTACTAATCCGGTCACTAATACAGGTCAGTCACATTTACCTTGGACAATCAGTTCAATGAATCCTATTCAATTGAATACCATTGACGGCAATAAAATTCCGATGTTTAATGATAATCATAATCATAGTAATAATAACAATAATAATAATAATACTTTGAATCAAAGTTATTCCATTCCACAATTCATGGATATTGACAATTATCAATGTAAAAAATCACCAAACGATAAACAAACTACATTGAATAATTCTCGTGAATTGTCAATATCATTTTTATCTGAACATAGGAATACTACTGTTAAGAGTAATAATGCTAATACTTGTACTACTTTCAACCCAATTTCATCAGTACCAACATTTAATTCGAATAAATTTAGTAATACTACTAATACTACTACTAATACTACTACTACTACTACTACTACCACCACTACTACTACTACTACTATTGATAATAAAAGTAGTAGTATGAATAGTTCACCTATTCAGCAGAGAAATTCAAATGGTTTATATGAATGTATGATATGTTCTCGTCAATTTACACGTTCCGATATGCTTGTACGACATGCTCATGTGCATACAGGTCATAGACCATTTGAATGTACAACATGTGGTCAAGCATTTAGTCGTTCTGATCATTTATCTACGCATCAACGAACACATACTGGTCAAAGACCGTATCAATGTACATTATGTTATTATTCAGCGTCTCGACGTGATATGATTACAAGACATTTAAAAGTACACGAAAGAAAAGTAAGTTTTTAATGATAATTTCTCTGGCTTCTGTTGTGCACTGTCTGATAACGTTTCAAGCCATTTAGTTGCACAATCTCTAGGACCCCAACCGGAGGGTCGTGCAAAGAGCCCTAAGAAACCCAATACCTATGAGCGGGATGATGTTTCGCGAAGCCGCACGCGAATTCGTTCTGCATTTTTAATGGCGTCATGAAATTACAGCTAGTGCTCACCTAGCTAGGTTGGATATTTATGTGCAACAGAAGCTACAACCGATTCACTAACATCATTCTGTTTTAGACATTGGATTTTTTTTGCCACTGAAACCTAAAAAGTAGTACAAACAAGAGGATGATCAGAGTCCAGATAAGTACTCCAAAAGGAGCGGTAGTCTTGTACACAACCACGTGTGTGGTAGCTGATCGCGATATGATCGACCTGGGTCTAGGCTTGAGATGTAGTGTAAGAGGACATTATGATTTTATTTATTTCTAAAATATTAGCAAAATCAGTGCAAGACCATTAATCAATACAGTCTATTAGCGAAGTGTGTAAGTGATAAAGCCATACACGCTAAACAGTAATTACTTACTTACGCCTGTTACCCCCAATGGAGCATAGGCCGCCCACCAGTTTTCTCCAGCCAACTCTGTCCTGGGCTTCCCTCTCCAGTTCTGTGTAATGAGGACAATTAATGAATCCACAAGGTCTTCAGTCATATTTATATAAATGGTACATGTTTGTAATTGGTAGACAAACAAAGGATAGTTACTCTGAAATCAGACCGAATTTAAGTGATGAACGTTCTCTTAAATATTATCGGTTAATTCATTGTTAGCAATATATATATATATATATATATATATATATATATACTAGCTAAAACGTATAGTTTAATTTTTCTTTCTAGGGTCAAATCCTTCCAACTCATGAAGGTGGTGGAGCCTTGAAATTACATTTCACTACAAATTTTTCACAGCCTTCTAAGTATTCTATCAAACACGGTGACAAAAGGACTAGTTCTCTAGTGAATATGACAGATAATCATTTTTCTGTTGTATCGACACAGTCTTCTCATCTTAATAGTTGTTAATATATATATTTGAGTTCAGAGAATGAACGATTATTCAGCTGAATATCAATGGACTAAGATAATTTTATCAAGGTAAGAAACGATTTTTAACATTCTTTGATACCGACTGACTCTAGATAGGTGTGACAGCTATAAAGTGTTTCTCTCAGACAACCAGCATCTGCAGCAATGCTGAATATCACAACTGAAGAAATGGGTTAGAAAAGGTCGACCCTAAAATTGTCGCACCTCACCTTACCCCATGGACTTCCGTCTCCAGCGCTAAGGCCTTTTGAAAAGCAGAGCTTATGCGTTATAAACTTCTCATAAAAGGCCGTGTGTCACCACCTCCAAGCAGTTATCCCTTTGGCTCTGAGGTCATGATCCTAGGTCGCTAAGAAATACTGTTTCACGGTGTGGACGACCCGGAAATGACATCTGCCCTCATACCCCCCAACAACACACGAGACCAACTTACTCAAAATTAAATCCTTCCTCGACTTCCTAAAAGTTCGCCTGTCTCCACGACTAACCCTTCCGGTGTACTGTTATCAATTCACGCTCACAATTTGAGTACAGGAAATGTTTTATCTGGTCTTCTGAAGCTACTCTCTAAACTACATTTTCGAGCTTTCAGTGTTCGAACCTTGTACCAAATAGGACAACAAACCTACTTAACCAGGATTTTAGAATCTCGTGCTATCGATGTATACTGCCTCTCCAAAACGTGAATACAGGATCCTGGCAGATTCATACATTTGACCTCAACTTATCAAAATAAAGGATCATCTCGGTTTACAATTCGTGTATCTGGTAGCCCCACCACTACTTCCTGTGGCCTCTCTGCTGTAGGTATAGCATTAAGTTCTAAAGCAGAAGTAGCTCTCTTAGACTGGATCCTAGTAGACAATCGCTTGTGCACTATCCGACTAAACTGGACAGTGAGGACTCGAAGAGATAGGGACACTCGTCATTGGCTCTTCGTTGTCTCTGCCTACGTGCCCACTGAACGCAGTTCAAACAAGGTAAAAGATGAGTTTTACGGAAAGCTGTCGGACCTAGTAATAGTGGCTGGTGACTTTAGTGTTTAATTAAGTAGAACTTATAAAACCCAGAGACGCCTGTTTGGACCTTATGGTATCGCAGCTCATCAGACAAAATGGAGACCATCTGCCGTAGCTATGCTCGTATAGCCCCTTGTTTCTGGTAAATACTAATTTTAACCATAAAAGTAAGCGCCTCTGGACATGGCGACCCCCTTGATTAACTCAGCGCTGTACTCTACTAGACCATATTGCTATCAGACACCAATGGAGAGCCGCGACAGCAAACTGTCGTGGCTTTTTCTGGGGTACATGTTTAGACTCGGATCATGCTCTAGTATGAGCTCGTATCGATCTGCAGCTTACTGGACGTAGGAAAGACGGCGAAGAAACTCCTCAGAGTTGTACTTAAGGATAAAATAGCTGTGAGTATTTTTCGAGAGTGACTAGAAAAATCAAATAGGCCGCCATGTAAGTGATGTCCACTCCAGGTCAGCTTGGAATGATATCCAGAAAGCTGTAGAAACAGCTGTGATATCTGCCAGTAAAGTAAACCAAAAGGTTAGGGAGGAGCAGTGGATTTCAGTAACATCTACTAAACTGATAGATGCTGGGAAACTCATTCCGTTTGGCCCTGAACACGATGTGGAGAGAAGGCAGCTTGAATATAGGCTGATAAGAAGACTACGCAATGATCGCGAACAGTGGTAGGTGGCGAAATCAAGAGAGCTGGAAAAGGAAGTGGCTCTAGGTAACAGTAGAAAATTATTCCGACTTATCAAGGAAATTACTATAACGAGCTCATCTGTTATTGAAACTCCCGACCGTAGCTGCTACCTTGACGTGGTGGTCGGGCTTGCCTATCGTGATGACCCAACCGAGCTATACTGGCTGGAACATATGTTCCTCAAGGTTCTACCATGCCAGACAGGTCGATTGGAGAACGATGAGACTAAAAGCAGCTACCCAAGGTCTGAGGGCGAAGTCGTACTGCTGACTGCAGAGGGGTGTGACAGCAGTAAGGTGTTTCCCTCGGACAACCAGCATCTGCAGCGATGCTGCCTTCTCACAAGGAAGGAAGGGTTAGAAAAGGTCGACCCTAAAAATGTCACACCTCCCCTACCTCACGGATTTCCGTCTCCTTGGGTAAGGGTGCCCACTAAGGGCCTTTAAGAATGGAGCTAATACTCAAAAAACCTTTGATCAAAAGGCCGTGCGTGACCGGCCTGAAGCAGTTGTCCCTTGGGCTCTGCGGTCACGCACCAACACTAATCCATCTTCCTTTTCAGGTCCCTCAAGAAACAACCTTCCATGGTGTGGGCAGCCGGGAAGTGACAACCGCCCTCATACCCGTAACAGCACGAGAGACCGAATTGGTCAAAATCAAATCCTTCCTACACCCCCTAGTACCTCTCTTATCTCCACGACTAACTCTTCTCACATTCATTCATCACAGTGCACAGCTAATGCAGACGATACGAGTTCGCGAAACGTCGTTCCTGGTCTCCTTAAACCTCGCTCTAGACTACATGTTGGAGCATTTAATGTACGGACATTGTGTCAAATAGGGCAACAGGCTTCCTTAGCTAAGACTTTAGAAACTCGCGCCATCGATAAATGCTGCGTCCTCGAAACGCGCATACAGTGTCCTAGTAAAATCAATAGTTTGATATCACCTTGTCAAAATAAAGAAGCAGCTCGATTTCGTGTGTCCGGTAGTCCTGATGCTGCCTCCCGGGGTCTTGCTGGCGTAGGCATAGCATTGAGTCGTAGGGCAGGACAATCTCTCCTTGACTGGATCCCAATAGATAGTCGATTGTGCGCTGTACGACTAAACGGGACAGTAAGGACTCGGAAAGATAGGGACAATCGCCGTTGCCTCTTCATCGTATCTGCCTATGCCCCCACTGAATGCAGTTCAGACGAGGTTAAGGATGAGTTTTACAGAAAGCTCTCGGACCTCCTCCAAAAAGCTAGGCGTTCTGATATAGTAATAATGGCTGGTGACTTTAATGCTCAAGTAGGTAGACTAAGTGAGCAGGAGAGACACCTAGGTGGATGTTATGGTGTCCCGGCTCAGAGAACAGACAATGGTGACCGTCTGTTGCAAGCATGCTCAGACAACCGCCTATTCTTAGCAAACACTAACTTCAGGCATAAGGAAAAGCATCTGTTGACCTCGTTCTGGAGCACATGTCTCGATTCAGATCATGTCCTAGTGCGAGCGCGTATTTGTTTGAAGCTTACTGGGCGTAGGAAAGACACCGTAAGAAAGCCTTTTAGGGTTTTACTTAATGATAATAAGGCGAAAAATATATTTCAGGAACAACTAGAAAGACAGTTAGGCGACCATTTAAGCGATTCCCATCCGGAAGCAGGATGGAATGATATCAAAAAGGCTTTGGAAACAGCAGTGATATCTGCTAGTAAGGTTGACCATAAGGCTAGAATGAAACCGTGGATCTCAGCAGCGTCCACCGATCTGATGGATGCCCGAAAACTCATCCCACCTGGCTCTGAACATGATGAAGAACGAAGTCAACTTAGGCGCAGACTTATAAAAAGCCTACGTAACGATCGCGAACAGTGGTGGGTGGCGAAAGCAAAAGCGATGGAAAAGGCAGCGGCGATCGGTAACAGTAGACAACTTTTCCGACTTATCAAGGAAACTGGTATTAGGAATCCTAGTGTAAGTGAGACTATCTCAGAAAATGACGGGACTATTATTTATTCTCAATCCAGGAGACTAGATCGATGGGCTGAACACTTTAGGGATCAGTTCAACTGGCCTCGAGCCACTCTTCAGTTACCCACGATCTTCAGTCATCCTGAATGGCAAATCGACGTAAGTCCCCCTAGTCTTAATGAAGTTGAAAAAGCGTTAGGAAATCTGAAGCGAGGACGAGCTGCAGGTCCTGATAGACTGACCCCTGAGATATTTAAGGATGGTGGTCCAGTTTTAGCAGCTAGGTTGACTGAGATCTTAGGTAGAATCTGGGAACTGGACGTAATCCCGTCTGACTGGTCTCAATCACTGGTTGTCCCAATGTGCAAGAAAGGACAAAAGTCTACTTGTGATAATCACAGAGGAATAAGTCTAACTAATATAGTATCTAAAATATTGGCCTCAATAATACTTCGACGCTTAACGAAAGCTCGTGAAGAGCAAACTCGAGAAAACCAGGCTGGTTTTCGACCTTGACGTGGCTGTATAGACCACGTCTTCACACTCAGACAGGTCCTGGATCATAGACACACATTTAGGCGTCCTACAATAGTTGTTTTCCTAGACCGTAAGGCGGCATTTGACTCTGTGGATCGTGAGGTTCTGTGGCAGTGTCTGTCATTGAAAGGTGTACCACAGAAGTACATTAACCTCATACAAGCTCTCTACTCAAACACCACTGGTCGAGTGAGAGCATATGGCGAACTGTCACCGGAATTCTCTACATCAAGTGGTGTCCGTCAGGGATGTCCACTCTCTCCATTCTTGTTTAATTTTATCATAGACATGCTCCTAGAAATAACCTTATCCTCGTCTGAATTTTCAGGAGTAGACCTTTTACCAGGAGGCTGGCTTATTGACTTAGAGTATGCCGATGACATAGTCCTACTTGGTGAAGACGCTGACAAAATGCAGTCTTCTGACTACCCTAAGCAACAATGCAAGCATGTTCGGGATGCGGTTTTCCCCCTCGAAATGCAAAATGTTGCTTCAAGATTGGGTTGCATCGGCACCTGAACTAGTGATAGGGAGTGAAGTGGTCGAACGTGTAGACCGCTTCACTTATCTTAGGAGTCTCATCAGTGCCGATGGCCTGGTGACTGACGAAATCTCAGCTCGGATACAGAAGGCTCGATTGGCTTTTGCCAACCTGCGTCACTTATGGCGTAGGCGAGATATCCGTTTGCTGACTAAAGGACGAGTGTACTGCGCAGTGGTTCGCTCCGTCTTACTTTATGGCTGTGAAACATGGT